GACTGCATGTCACCACTAGAAGTCGTTTCCACTTTCCATACCAATGGAAGATAGAGGATCTGTTACTAATTGTATGAGGCTTTCGTCGTCGCTCTCATGAAGATAAACGCCTTCCATTACACCGATTACAATGCTGCGTATAAATTCGAATAACGCTGCCTGTACCTCGTTGCTGTCATTGTTGACAGCCATTTTTTATTTGCACGTAGATAGGTATATGTGTCAGTTGTAATTGAGAATTGCTAGTGAGCTAAATACAAGTCTCCCAACACAGAGATCGATCAATTCTAAAATCTCCCAGGCGACGACTTGTATCTATAAATTGTTATATATAGCCAGATAGTACGTTCATCGTTCATCGGCTCACAGCATTACCTTTTCGAGCCCGTTAATTTTTCTTAACACTACTATTATTATTATCATTATTATTGATACAGTATAGGTAGGTACCTAATATTCTGGTATTACGATTTGTATTACTCTGTGACTCGATGTATACTAAAAAGGCTTAGCCGCCCAGAATCTTAAGGTTAATTTGTTTGTTAAGTTAAATAATATATAACTGATAATATTACATTTGTGTCACCTTTTTGACTTAATCCTAATTGAATATTTTACACTTTTTGTGTGTTATTCATGACATTTTGATATTATCTTCAAGACCGCAGTTGGAACAAATTTTCGTGAGAGGTTTAAAACTAACTTATATATTTTCATGATATAAAAACCAACTAAAAAAGAAATTTATATATTATAATAATTATATAAAATATAATGTTTTTTATAGATAACCTACCTACATGTGTGATAAAATGTGTATTTTAAATTAAATATTTTTATAGTATAAAGTCTAATAGTTTTTTTGCGAAACAATCGTCATCTAGATTAATTTAAATTTGTCTATGTAAACATTGTAAACTAATATACACTCAAAAGAGCTAAACGTGTAAAGGCCCTGTCACAGTATCACACACGCTTCCGATCCGTCAGGGCATCCGTGTACTAGGAAATACGAACTTATTGTTTTTCAATGGATATTTTATTCATACTTATCCGAGCTGAATCCGGTCTGAGCTTTCTGAGATCACTCCGATGAACTTAATCTGAAGAGTTTCGTTAATAGTTTTATTAAATCTTTTCACGGTAGAAGATATACCTACGTCCTGGTGATGATGTCGTAACTGGTAATGTATCTCATAGTTTCAAAAGAAAATATATAATTGGAAAAAATTCATAATTTAAAATTGGGAAGTTGACTTCTCCCAACTAGCACTTTGCTTTAGAAACTTAAAAATTTCAAATATAGGTACCTAGATATTTTGCTCGGAAATGTTCAGAATTCGCATATAGGTACCCTTGGCGTACCAGAAGTTTACCAGAAGTCAGAAATCATAATTTTTTAGTGTAAGTATGTATTATCGTCATTTTAGAACTACCACTGAAAACCAAGGATAGGTATATGTAGATTCTGAGTATCCTTCCAAGTAAAATTTAGCAAATTAATTGCACAATATCTTTGCAGTTTTTAAGTTTCCTGGTCAAAGAGGGAGGAGGGAAATTTTACAGATATATTGTGACCGATATGGCGATATCTAATCTGCAGAACAAAAATTAATTTCAATTTTAATTCGTATATATTCCTATATAATAATATTATATTAAATGGGCTAAAGTACCTAGTAACCCTAGCGTACGCAGCGCAGCCTGTGGTCGTTTAATCGTGCGACTCGTTTCGGTACGTACTACGTTTTATCATGAGAGCGGCCGTAGACCGTAGCCCGTTAGAGTTTGTTCTCCTAAACTCAATTTTATTATAATATTATAATATCCTTAATCCTTATTATATATTATAATATTATTATATGTTCATACTTCATAGTCTCCTTATTCTATAGTCTGTTCATTTTAAGAAGCGATTCGGCGGCCACTAGTAAAACCGGTTTTCAAGCGTAAATCAGGTCGCTTCTTATTTTGAACAGGGTATAGTTGTATTATAAAACGGTATTGTAGTAATTTTAAACAGATTATTAGAAACAACAGAACAAGTAACTGCACAACAGAACATAGTATGGACGCTATAAAATCTTTGTCGGGTATAAGTCTAGTTTACCGGGTAACCTTTTTTTTTTTTTGAAAAGGGTTGTTTTGACGAGTAAGAACGATGGGGCAAAAAAAAAAAATGTGTGCAAATAATTATTTTGGAAGTTATAGCTTCCCAAAGTTAACGACTGTACGTTTATACGAGTGCGCGCAACACAACTATAATGCCGAGCGGAGGACCTCGAGTTTGGCGACCAGAGGACTTTTTTAATTGGACGGACGTTGTGAGAAACGTGTCATGTCACTTTTTGGTCATTTTGATATTATACATCAAAATTGTAGGAAATTTTACGCTGCATCGATTGGTTACACTGTTATTAGCACACGGTGGCTTGTTATTCAGTTATTGTGTTATACTGATGTGCGAAATGAGTCAAGTCAATAACAGTTAAATGATTTTGTGAGAAACATGTCAAGTCACTCAATAGTATATAATATTTATTATTAATTTATTATTATAGTGTTTTTATATAATTTGCTTATTGATAAAACCTCTGGGTTCTTTAATTAAAATGTCAAAAAGAGCTAAACAATTATTAAAGTTGGCTTGTAACAGTAAGTACTTATATAAAATATAATTATTATCATAAACCTTATTACATTAAATTGTATATTATGTTGTATCAACTTTTGTACAGATGTCATCTCTACTAGTGCAACAAACAGTAAGCCATCCTGCTGTAGAAATTTGACCACACTTTTTCAAAATCATAAAAGTTCAAAACATGAAAAATATAATGATCAAAGTACGGATTATGTAAGAGTAAGTGAACATTAATAGCATACTCATAATAGGTTAACTAGGGTTTTATATTGTTATCATCGCATTTATTGCAGTATGCATAATATTGCAGTAAATTATTAATCAGTATAATAATTATTGAGTCATAATTAGTAATCATATTTGAATTTCAAAACATTAAGACTTGACCAGAGTATTGAAGTACAACAAATTATTATTTTATTGAGTTCTAGTATTACCTATCCATAGTAGGTAAGTTATTATAATTTTCGAGGTATTATAGGTACTATTATTATAATACCTACATTACTAAAATTAAAAAAATTTACCTATTTTAATTTATTATAGATACTTAACTGTAATTCTATTGTAGTAAATTAGTATTTGCTATTTAATATAAAATATATATGCAAACATTCAATTAAATTGCATATTTTAAAAACTTATACTCTAAACTAAAAATAAAAAAATCCTTTAAATCAGACACCTAATTTAATATTATATTATTTTTACATAATATTCATTATTTACTTTAAATTTTAAAGAATTTATTGTAGGTACCAGTGTTATATGTTGATATTTTGATTATTGTTTCTTAGCAATGGGTAAATGAATCTGAACCATCATATGGGAAACAAATAGGTGATATAACTTTGGATAATACTAATTATGTAATTGAAATTGCCAATGATGATTATTCTATTTTGGATAATGCTAATTACGTAAATGAAATTTCCAATGATCTTACTATTTTGGAAAATATAAATTATGAAGCTGGCTTGCCAATAGAACAGGTAATTTATTTTGCATGCATAATGCATATAGGTAGTGATATTATAAGATTAATCAACTAATTTTTTTTAAACAGAATAATGTTGATGAATTTGGACAGAGAATTATTTTTGGAACACTCCAGCTATTAGAAGGAAGTGAACAGATGCTATTTTATGATCATAATAGTTTGGAAAATAATATTAATGATGAAGTAGTATTGCCTATAGAGCAGGTAATTTATTTTGCATGCATAATGCACATAAGTAGTGTTATTAAAAGATTAATTAAATATTTTTTTTTAAATAGATTATAATGATGATGTTTTTGAAGAAAGTGTTATTGTGGGAAAACCATCCCAACTATCAGCAGAAAGTGATCAGATACAAGTTACAAATTCAAATAAAAGAAAGGCAAGAGTTAGTATTAAAGGTGATACCAGAAAGTTCAGAAAAAGTCAAAATGAAAATAAAAATAAAGGTATGGAGTACACAAATTATAAAAAAAAACCTATCAAAGCTAAAAAATCAGAACCTCTAGGTAATTGTAGAAATAATTGTAAGTCTAAAGTTGAAGACAATTTGCGTTATCAATTATTTGAACTTTATTGGTCAATGGGAAATTATAATAGACGAGCAGCTTATATTTCAAAATTAATTGTATGTTCTGACAAAATTAGTAGCAGAAAAAGAAGAGATACTCCCGAGAAACAAATGCTGAAAGAAAAGACTTACAAATATTATATCCCCAAGAATGGTAACCTAATTATTGTTTGTAAATTATGCTTCATGAAAATATTTGGTGAAACTCGCTCTTTTTTGAGAAATGTCTGTACAAATATGTTGAGTTCACCAGCACATCGTTGTTCCCCTGATAAAAGAGGAGGAAACACACCAGGAAATAAACGGTCTAATGATGACATAAAAATATTGATAGATCATCTTAACAAACTTCCCTCCTATGAAAGTCATTATTGTAGGAAGGAGACATCAAAGAAGTATTGTCCAAGCCATTATACTTTAAAGCTAGCATATGATATGTATAAAAAAAAGTGTAGAAAATACCGTATGTATGAGACAATATATGCTTAATATTTTAAAAATTCAGGACTCAAAGTAAAAAATCCTAAAAAGGACACCTGTGCAAAATGTGACAAATATAAAATACAACTACTGACTGATAATAATAATTTATGTGAACAAACAATTAATAAGCTAATTGATGAGAAAAAAAACACCAGGATGAAGCTGAATTCGCTTTTCAATCTAAAAGAAACGACATATCAGAGATTTCTACTGATAAATGTGTACTATCCTTTGATTTGCAGCAATGTCTCCCAACACCCTCCTTAGAAAGTTCTGTAGCTTTTTACAAAAGACAATTGTGAATGTACAATCTTACCGTCCACAATTGTACTACTTCACAAGCATCTTGTTACATTTGGTATGAATCTATTGCAAAACGTGGAGCTAATGAAATAGGTTCATGCATATTCCATTACCTTAGTAATCTCCCTAAAAATATAACAAACGTCATCATGTACAGTGATTGTTGCCCTGGGCAAAATATAAATGGTATAATGATTGTTATGTGCTTGTATTTTTTAAATCAACAAGACACCATTAAAATAATAGACCATAAATTTATGGTGCCTGGCCACACTAGGATGGAATGTGATGGAGATCATGGAAAGATAGAAAAAGCCAAAAAAACATTTTCTTCATCTATAAACCACCCACAAGACTGGATTAATTTAATACAATTTGCTGGAAAAAATAAATTTTTTGTAATTCCAATGTCTCAAGACAATTTTTTTAACTTTAATAGCTTATTTAAAAACAAAGTATATCAGATGAAAAAGAAAAATGAGGATCAAGATGCATTTGTATTTCAAGATCTAAAATGGCTGCGATACACTAATGAAAACAAAGGGATTGTTCAATACAAAACATCATTGGATCCAAAAGCACCATTTTTTAAGTTAAACTTATCTAAAAATAAAGCAGTACCCTTGGACATACCATTAGCATATACAAATCTGTTGGGTGTCACTGAAGAAAAGAAAAAAGATCTTATGTCATTGTTAGTTTTTATTCCTGAAGTGTATCACGAATTCTATAAAAATCTGAGAACAAAAAAAAATTTGACTGATCCACTAGCATCAGAAGAAGAAGATGAATAATAATAATATTATCACCCATTGTTAAAAAACTTTTAATTTTCTTATTTAATTTTAATATTTGTTGAGTACTTATTATTTTATACAATGTTATGTTTATACCTACTAAAAAGTTATATTGTTTATGTTGTTTTTATTTTATTTTAAACTATATTCAAGTTATGAAACATTCATATTAAGTAAAATATTATGTTCCTATACTTCTTAAATATTTTTTGTTTTTATAAAATTATTTTAATTAAAAGTGAGTTTTATTTTGATGATTGTTATTTTACTTTATTTAGCCTTAAACTTTTTCAATATTACAATTTCCTGTTGCCTCATGCTATTTCAAGTACCATAATGTTTTTAATATTTTATCATGATATGAAGACATGCAAATATTGCATTGTGAAATCTATGTGGTGGATTAAGATATTAAGTTTTATTTTTTTTCTGTAAGTATAGCACCTATATTATAATTTATAATATACCGTATACCTACTACCTACTGGAGTATATTAATATACTGTGTACTGGTACTTATAGATTTTTTCATTGGTTTTCTTACATAGGTAATATTCTGTAAAACTATTCTTTTCAAAGTTGTTACCTACCTAATAAACTAAGTAGGTACCTAGTTTTAAAAAAAAGTATGTGTTCATCAGTCTATCATACATTTTATAGAACTTTTACACCAAATTAAGAAAAATAAAATAAAAACTTCTCTGCAAAAGGTTAGTTCTACTAACTTAAAAGTTAAAATTTAACATAGTATGATAGCACTGACTTCTATAAAACCAAATCATTGGTATCATCAAGTCATATGTACAAAAGGTGTCAAGTCAGATATTGTTTGTGTCAATAATGTCATGTCACTTTCAAAGGTCTTAAAATTATTTAAGATTTAAAGTTGAATGAAAATCTGAAAATAAATATGTCTATGAGACAGAAATAACTATTCTAACAAATTAAAAACATAAATTAAAGAATAGAAATGTTTTATTCTTCTCCTGAACAATCAGCATTTTTGACTTGACACGTTTCTCACAACGTCCGTCCAATTGTTTATATCTTTTATGATAACTGATACAACAATTAGTAATCACTAATTACCTTGTGAACTACTTGAGGTGTTGAAGTGTTGTTGCATAGCAAGTCGAGGGATATTTTTGATTTGCGAAACTGTGTAATCACCGCCCTATTTGAAGCACTGTAAGTAATTAACTATAGGTAATCTGGTTGTTTATAAAAGATATATTTAATAATATAAAAAAAAATAATAAAATAAAAATTAGACATAATAAAACAATACATTCATCGTTCCCCTCAGAATCTAAAATTGGACTTGTAACTTTTAAAATAAAAGGCTCCTAGTACATTGTTTCAAAGACAGATATTACAAATCTTTAGTCACAGTTTTTTTTGATAAGCATTTAAACTTCAAAAATTGACAAAATATGGAAAAATCACGAAAATTAGCAAATTATTTTGAGTTAAGAATTCGTAAAAATTTATCTTTTTAAATCTAAGATTTTAAAATGTAATACAAGATTAATTATAAGATTATCTACCTTTATCAAAAAAAAATGTCAATAAGAAAGTCAAATTAAATTTTTATGAGCATTTTAAATTCATATTTTTACAAAATTTGTTATTCACTCGTTTTCTCATATAATGATTTTCTTATTTTGTTGTACTTACTTCAAAAACGAATAACTGTAGATACATAAAAATTTCACTGAATGTTTATATTATCAATTCTTATATTTGATAAGATGTTCAAAATATTTTAACGGTTTTTGTGCAGTTTACGGGCATTGTCAGTTTTAAATTTTTCTTTTTTTTTCTCTGAATATCAATAAAGTTTTATATGTTGGGCCAAAAAGTGTAAAAATGTAATACGAGGCTCCTGATATATTGTTACAATAGGGGTTGAAAAATATTAAAAATACATAGGCCCAATTTTTTTTTTATAAGCATCTAAAGATCGAATTTTGACAAAATTTATCAAATTTAAAATTGAATAATTATTTTGTTGTTAAAAACTTATAAAATGTTCAACTTTTATATCTATGGATTGAAAATTTAAAACAAGATTCCATGTAAGTAGTTAATTCTGTTACCAAAAAATCTAAAAAATATACAAGCATAGTTTATTTTTATAGTCATTTTAGGTTCAAATTTGGCCGAAATCACATGTTAAAAACCTAGAATAACTATTTTAGTTATTTTGTTATGACTGTATAATATTATTCGTGGGTACTGGAAACTTTTAAAGTATACTACAATATATCTATGATAGTATCACGGTTTGTTGTTGATGTAAAACGCGTTATATGTAGGTACATAATGGATATTGTGATATTATGATTAATTTAGAATTTATTATAGGTACCCATTATAGGTCAATTTTTGTTTTAATACCATAAACAAAGGTGGGCAAGTTAATGAAAATAATTAACTCAAGTTAAATTAAGTTAAGAGGACACAAGATTGATTAGTTAAAAGTTAGCAGTTAACAAATTATAAATTTAACTCGATAAGTTAAAAGTTCATATAGAAAAAAAAATTAACTTAACTCAGTTTAAAAAAAGTTAATCTATTTTAGATTCTGAGTGAAACGATGAATATATTGATTTTACAATGATGTGTGTTTTTTTTAATTTTTTTTTAATTTTTGTGTCTGTCATCACGTTTTAGGACAGTAAAAGTGCTTGGATTTTCTTCAACAGGGCTATCTTGTCGTATGCGCTCTACCGGCAACATTGCGACTGCAGTATGCGCTCTACCGTGTTTTGCCACTATATACAATTATATTTAGATTTTAGACAATAATATATTCTCGTAATAAGTGGGATGATGGAAAAGTGGTTTTAATGAAGATCTGGAGCAATGAAGAAAATGTGGAGTTGTACCACACATATTTTTAACAATTTTTAGCCTCAGAGGCCGCCATATACTTTCAATATTTTGGGTATGTGCCTTTGATATTGGATCTACGAAATTAACGTAAAACGACTTAGCAGGACCGGCTCAAGCGAAAATAGTGAACTAGGCGAAATCAAATTTTGCCGCCCCTAATAATATAATATTATCAGTATTTTGAAAATGCCGCCCTCTTACTAAAGTGCTGCTTATGTGCCGCCCTAGGCGTGGGCCTATGTCGCCTACCCCTTGAGCCGGGCCTGCGACTTAGTGATTGTACCCGTGGTCCGAGAGTCCATGACACCCAGACCAGCTATCGAAATATATTGTAGATCCAAAAATAACCTATCTTTGTATAATTTAGTGCAAAGTCATGTTGTCCCTTTTTTGGACAACGATAACCCATGGTCCATCAAGCCGTCTTCCATAGTTTCTTGCTCCGTTTTCTAGGGGATCAACGACTAAATATGCGATCAAAAATTATATGATGAAGGAAAAGATAGTCCTAATCTTTATTACCACATTAATAAAGATATAAATTGCATAGTAGAGCGCATATACCAAGTGTCCCGTCATCGCAGGTAGACCATAATCTTGAGTAGAGCGCATACGACAAGATAGCCGTTTTCCCAAGCACCGGGAAAAACAACATAAAAATTAAGGAAAAATGGGAATTTTTACTCAAAATCGGTTTTCCAAAAAATCGATTTTGATTTTTGGTGTAACTCTAACCTACTGGTTGTAAATATTTGCATTTTATATACACGATAACATTTTCAAAATATTTTGATTTATTTTGAACTGTTTAGGGACATTTTCCATCTTTTTTTAGTTTTTTTTCTAAAGATATCAATAAAATTTTATTTGTTGGTTAAAAAAGCTTGAAAATTAAATAGAAGACTATTAGTATATTGTTTCAAAGGCAAATGAAAAATATTAAAAATCCAAAGTCACAATTTTTTTTTTTAATCACTTAAAGTTCAAAAATTGACAAAATATGGAAAGATCACGAAAATTAGCAAATTATTTTAAGTTAAGAATTCGTAATAATTTTTCTTTTTAAATCTAAGATTTAAAAATGTGATACAAAATTCCTTATAAGTTTATCTACTTTTATCAAGAAATAAATGTCTATAAGAGAGTTAAATTAAATTTTTATGAGCGTTTGAAATTCAAATTCTTACAATATTGGATATTCACTCGATTTCTCATGTAGCGATTTCCTTATTTTGTTGTAATTCAAAAACGAATACCTGTAGATACATGAAAATTTCACTGAATATTTATATCAGCATTTCATATACACCATACAATTTTGAAAATATTTTGACTATTTTTGAGCTGTTTACGGACATTTTCAGTTTTCAATTTTTTTAGTTTTTTTTTCTATAAATATCAATAAAGTTTTATCTGTTGTGCCAAAAAATGTAAAAATTTAATACAAGGCTCATGATATATTGTTACAATATCAGTTGAAAAATATTAAAAATACATATTAACAATTTTTTTTATTAGTATATATTATATATCTATGATAGTATCAGGGTTTGTTGTTATGTATAACAAGTTATAAGTACCTAATGGCTATTGTGATATGATTAATTTGGAATTTATTATAGGTCAATATTTTTTAAAATACCATAGTCCATATTATAGATATGTAGGTATATAATATGTCTTAAACCTAGACTGTCTCCGCTCAGAATCGTTTTTCTTGTACAATGACATTATATCATTGAATTCAAATTTAATACCATCCATTATACAGTGACCCAATTGTAACCTACCGTACAGCAGAGCACCTTTTTTAATATTGATTTCAATTTTAATTATGATTCGAAAAAGTTCATATTTTCCAGTTTCCAGTACAGTTCACAATAATATAAAATTTAGTTTTTACAAAGTGCTTCGTAGGATTTATAGACACTTTTCTGGTGAGTTCAAATTTTTTTTCAGAATCAAAATCAGACAACGTTAACTAACTTTAATTGTGTCAATACTTTAGGTCTTTTCAGCTAAAATTGACGGCAGTAGCGAGGCCCCTTACAACAAAGAAGGATTATAGTTATTTTGTTGTAAATTAAAAATAGCAGGTA